CGGAACTTCATTATTCACCATTTGTATATCGGATGAGTGCTCTTTTTCCAACTCTTTTGTGTTTTCCTTTTCTTTAACCTATTCGTTTTACTAACTTCATTTACATTTTGGATTTCAAATAGATCCTCCAATTCTACAACTCTTGTGATCTCGAATTGTTTATTTAACGATTATTTCTCATGATCTATACCTTAACGTTATAATGCTCCTTTCCATCTATGACTCGTTGATACACTAAACCGTCAAATTCACCTACATTACCAAATATTTTCACAGGAGTTTTATCACACGTTTCTTTGAGATACGTCTTTCCTTGTTAATATTTTTTTGGGTACTTATGTTTTTACAAATATCATAAACCTTATATCATTCACTTCTTTTCTTCAGATTTATGTGCGCAAGTATGAGCAATATGACCTGGTCTTCGACATTCATAACGTAAATTCAGCCTAAGTCACTGGTACTTTTGCTCCTTCTTTAATTCTTTTACTAATGTAGTAATCTATTTAACCACAACACAAATTAGTGAAACTAACTTGTTAATATCTTCTATTATTCTTTGAACTAATAACAGGTTACATTCTTTTAATTTGTTTTTTTAATTCTTATTTATTCATTATACTTTTTAATAACAATTTACTTTTAATATTTCTTCATAACGTTTGATCACTCAAAATTCTCATTGGGGCACCGAATTCCAACAAACACGACTCTTTATAGACAAGTTAATGAATAAGACTGATTTTTATCCAGGTCTTTATGTTAGGTTATTTCTGAATTACTGTGCAATTGTTGACTTTGTACAAATTTACTCGCCTGACTACTACGTAACTGTTGTATCATATAGATCCTATCCCTCTACGTCTTAGTAACTATAGTACTGATTATCACAAAGATTAGGCTCAAGTTTATCTACTAGAACGTTTATTACTCAAAGCCAACGATGTGCAAGTTCTTTATAATCAATTAATCATATTACACGCATTTGACTACCTATATTAGACTATTAATTAACTTGTGCATTACTAATGCTATTCATAATCCAACAGACTATGACCAACTGGAACTCTACGCTATGAATTCCTGAATTACCGAAATCCACTATATCAATAAGGCTCTTTGATCGAGGCATGTATTGAATTTGGTTCAAGGGATTAAGGTCATTTACAAGAAATCTTATTGCAAAAGTTTTATGATTTGAGCCTGAATTCCGAAGCTAAGTATTGCACTTTATTTTTGAACTTTTACTAGTAATATAATGTTTTAAATTTTTAAATTATTCTATATCTTGTTTTCTAATTCTAATCTTTTGCAGCCGGGTTTCAATAATATAACTCAATTGTAAATTTGGTTCACAATATTACATAGTTACGGATATTTATTTTATTAATTATTAATATATTGTTATTATATTTTTGTATGTTTTTAATATATAATACTAATATAAATAAAATATATAATTTATAAATAAAAATTATTTTTAATATATAATGTTATAAAATTAATATAATCGTTATATTTTTAATATATTTTTAACGTATTTTTAACATATTTTTAATATATTTTTTTAATAATATAATTAATATATTTTTTAAAATATTTATGCTAACTTTGTTGTCGCTCTATATTAAAAATATATTAGTTATATTTTTAAAATATATTGATTATATATTAATTATATTTTTAAATAATATAATTAATATATTTTAAAAATATTTATGCTAACTTTGTTGTCACTTTATATTAAAAATATATTAATTATATATTAATTATATATTAATTATATTTTTTTAATAATATGATTAATATATTTTAAAAATATTTATGCTAACTCTGTTGTAACACTATAACAAAAATATATTAATTATATTTTTAATATATATTGATTATATATTAATTATAGTTTTTAATAATATAATTATTATATTTTAAAAATATTTATACCAACTTTGTTGTAACTCTATAATAAAAATATGTTAATTATATAACTAAAAAATATAATAAATATATTTTTGTTATAGTGTTACAACAGAGTTAGCATAAATATTTTTAAAATATAATTAATATATTTTTATTATATTTTTATTTTTTTAAAAGTTCTGCAAAGTAGTTAAATAGTGAGAGAATAGAATATTGCATAAAAACTTTGTTAAGTCTATTAGTAAGAATTTTAATGTAAATTTTTCTGACATGTTTGATTAGGCTGATTGGACGAGTAAGATTAAGATTTCTATAAATGTATTGTTTTTAGATATAAGGTAGATTCTTCTATGCTTTCAGAGTTTAGACATGAAATTTTGAGAGAGTTAATGGTTAAAAAGTGCAGTAAGAGTAAGAATACAGTGGTGTATAAGGTGTTTGATCATTTTATAGCTAATGCCTGGCCTTGTCATTAAGAAGTTTAGAAATGATTTGAAGGACTTTTTCAATAGTAATAGATACTATAAGTGGGCTGTACTAATTAGTGTTGATATGATGTAGTGGTTAGTAATGTTGTTGCTAAAAATTGTCAAACAGGGTTAGGTTGATAGGTTTGTATACAGTTCAGTTATAAAAGTGTGTTTGGATATGTTGTTTAATAGAAATTGAGTTGGTAATAAGTTAGTTAGAAAGTTTGATAATTGTAAAATATACAGAGAGTTAGAAGCAATTAAGAATACTGTTTATAGCTTGGGTAGGCCCAGAAACAAGAGTTTTACATCTTCTTCTAATGTCTGATTAATTTGTTGCCAAAGTCAAAGAGAGTATTTGAGATGATAAGCATAGTGGACTTGTTTTCAAATAGTATAAGCATGTTGGAGCCAAGATTGAATTGAGGTGAAGTCAAGTGAGTTTAAATATTAGAGATCACAGTTGGAATACTTATTGATAATTAGGATATGTAAGTTAATATAAGAAAGATACAAGTTAGAGTTATTATTGTTGAAGTTTTTGTGAATAGTTTTGATAAAGTGACCAAGTTTTTTAAGACCAAGGTGGAGTGCAGTGCATTGAGAGCTGTATTGGTAGTTGTAGCTACATTTCCAAGATATTTAATTAGGAATAGTTTTGATTGCAGCTTGTGTAATACAGTGCTGTAGATTGTACCATGTAGTGTCAATACTTTTATAAGTATTAGAGATAAGAGGCATATAACTTTGTTGAATTAGATATGTAGTAAGCTCAAAAAATTCAAGCCATTGGTCTGAAGAGGTAGATATATAGTCAAAGACTCTTCAACTAATATTGGTATAAAGACATAGTGGTTTGCTATAAGTATTAGAAAAGATCCAGAATGTAGAAAGAATTAGATAGTCACTAAGAGTACTAGTTTTGCTATTGTAATCAAGAAGAAATTGTATATTGAAGGAGTCTGTCAAAATATAGTCAATTCTGCTTGATTGTGTATTGTTCAATCAGGTGAAATTTGTATTGTGAAAATATACTCCAATATTGAACATATTGGAGTGATGAAAAAAGTTGATAAGTTTGTATTTAGAAGAGGAGCTGAATATAGTATCATGTGTATTGAAATCACCTAGTATGATGGGCTGTAGATTATATTGCTGGGCTTGTTTAATCCAATTGATTATAGTGTTTTGAGTTAGATTTTGTCTAGTAGAATCTGTAAAGAAAAGATAAACTGAGATAATATAGAGTTTGATATTGCTTTTGAAGAATATATCTAGTGCAATAGCTTCACTGGGGTGTATGAGATAGCTATAGATGTAAGGCTTAAGATGGTTACAGACCATAATAGCTGCTTCTTCTATAGAACTGTCAAAGTTAGTCCAGTAGAATATATATAGATTATTGTTGCAAAAAGAAAGTTGGATTTTGTTAAAAATCTTGGGTTCAGTAATGCTAGCATTAGAGTTGTTGTAATTGATACAGTAATCCTGCCAGATTTGTTTTTTGGAGGCTATATTAAAGCCTCTAACATTGTGAGTAGTGATAGTAAGATGTAGATTATAAGAGCTAGATTGTTCAGATTGTAGTAAGCTATGAGATTAAGATGTAAATTTTATAAGAGATTTGTAGTAAATTAAGTATTGTAAGGAAGGAAGTATAATATAGCTAGGAAAAATAGTATCAGAGATATCAAGATATATGTAAGTTTCAAAAATTATAATATTAACAGAAATTTTGTAAAGTTGAAAGAAATGATTTTTAAGGAGGTGTTGGAGAAATGACTTGAGTATTTGAGGTAATGAGAGTAAAGAAAGATTGTGTTTGTTTAAAAATTTGTTAAAGCATGTCTCTTCAATAGGATGAGGTAAATTGGTAATTGAGGAGAAAGGAGTTTCTTTTGTAAAATTGCTTATTGTATACCTGGCTTTTATGGCTATACAAAAGGCCAAGGTCTGCTCTGTATATTAAGTCTAACCATCATATATTGGCTCTTTAATATAAATAGGCTTTCCTGCCCATTCACTTATATCATTCTTCTCTGAAAGTAGTCCACAGAGTATGGGGATCATTATTATTTTAGAGGTGGCAGCTGCTTCTATGATATTTGCAGAAGTCTTTAATGAAAAGACTGTTGTGATTTAGATTCAAGTTTCTTGGGCTGATTTGGTTTGGATAGTAGGTTATGGAATAGATTATTGGAAAAAGTTGGCTTAATAATTTTGTGATAGTTAATAATAAGTTGTTCAGCCTGAGATAAGAAGGTTTTATTATATTAATTATGAATTTGGAAGAAGGTTTGTTTGAATTTTTAAGTATATCAAAATAAGAGATAACTCTTCTGATATAAGTATAGTTAGTAGTTTGTTTAAGATGTTTGTAGATAGTTTTTTTATATGAAATGTTATAGATTTGGTCATTTTTAGCAGCAATATTAAGATATGCATTGAAGTAGAAATAGAAGTAATAGGTATTGTGATAGATATTAGCTTTGGCATTGTTCTTTTCTTAATAAAAGTTATCTGCTATATTTGCAAGGTCAGAGAAGGTTTGTGTTGGGAAGGATTTAGAAAAGGTTGCAAGATAAGTACTATTTTTGTTAAAGATAGAAAAATCTAATTTAAAATAAATAATAGTTGTAGCTTGTAGAGTAGGTGATAAGAGAGTTGATGCAGAGTAGTCTTTCAGGGATTTGTTGTAGAAGTATTTGTAGATATTTAGATAAGAGTGTTGCTCAGTAAAGTTTGGGTTCTCTGTATTAATAAAAGTAATGTAACATGTGTTTTCTTTGTTAGCATTATATGTGTAAATATGGTAGAGAGTTGCTTTAGTAATAGCTTCTCTACATTGCTACAATGATAAAATTTCGAGCAAGTTATAATTAGATAAAAAGAGTTTTTTACATTCAGTTGCAAGAGTGATAGCAATTTCATATCAGATATGGTTATAAATTCTTTTTTCAAAGTCTTTAGTTGTATTTGAAAATTGTCTTGTGTAGATTAAAATAAAGAAGCTAAACTAATTGTCAAGGCCTTGAGTAAAAGGTTTGAGAGAAGAGATTCTAAAGTTTTGAGTAAACTAATGTTTAGGAATATTGAGAGAGATGTTAATATTAAACTGGTTGTCATTATAGATTTGAAATAGTGATTTGTTGGGTGTATCTTCACTATAAAAGTAACAAATTTTAAAGTATATAGATTTGATTTCTAAATCCTTGATGGATTTTTGTGTATGAATAGTTTGGTACTTGTTTTGTAGAAAAAGGTGAATATAGGTAAGATTAAAAGCAACTTGATTGCAGTTACAAATACTGTAAGGACGGATGGAGCCAAGTGATAAAAGGATTTTTTTTGTGAAATTTAGCTGTGTAAAAAGTTTAGTTATAAAGTGGAAAAATAGAGATTTAAAAGTATCATGAATAATACTAAAAGGTAAAGTAGAGTTTTGTTTTAAGGTAAAGTTGGCTTGTAGAATTAAATCAAGGAGAAATTGTGGGTGCTGTCCTGCAAGAAAGGCTATAAAGTAATTAAATGTGTGTTGAAATTTTTAACTTTTTGTTTTTTTGTCATCGAAATTATTGATAGTAGATTTAACTAATTTGCTAGAAGCAAATTCGATAAGATGGGGTTTGATGAAATTAAGGAATTGACAGCCAAAGAAATTTAGTGATATATTTTTTTCTATTTATTCAAAAATAGAGTAATGTTGGAACCAGTCGAGATCATTAGATATATTATGCTATGGAGTTGTTTCTGTTTTTCAATAAAGTTAGAGTTAGAGATAGTATTGTTAAGATTAGTCTTGAAGGAGTCAAG